TGGTCAATGACATGAGACAAAGTATATGTGAACTGCTGTATGAAAAGTGAATTTACTCTGTAAATCTTCACCCAAATCCTAATAAAAAAAAAAAAGAGGGAGACCTCAACAAGACGGACTGACATAGTGGCTGGAACATAGCAATGATTGTGAGAATGGCGTAGGACTGAGCAGTGTTCATTCTGTTGCACATAGGGTTGCTATGAGTTGGAACTGGTTCGACGGCCCTGACAACAATGGCCCCAATTTAAGAAACTCTTAACCCCAACCCAAATGCATTGCCATGAGTCAATTCTGACTCACAGAGACCCTATTGGACAGAGTGGAACTGCTCTAATTTCTCAGGGTTTTCTTAGGCTGTAATTTTTGTGGAAGCAGACTGCCACATCTTTCTCCCATGGAGTGGCTTTTGGATTCCAACCACCAGCTTTTTGGTTAGCAGCCAAGTAAGTAATTAACCACCGTATCACCAGGGCTCCTTAAGAAATTCTTAGGCTGGAGTAAGTAAATTTAGATGGTGACACCTAGCGGTGAAGCATGACATTGCATCACAACTCTATTAGATACATAGTCAAACTAGAAAAATTAAAGAGATGGAATTTCTTTCTATTAATTAGCTTCAAACCAGCGTTACATCCAATAAGGATTCAAACTCACTGCTATCAAGTCGTTTCTAACTTATAGCGACCTCTAATTGGTTTTCCAAGGTGGTATCTCTACAGAAGTAGATTGCCCAATCTTCCTTCCAAGGAGTGGTTGGTGGGTTTGAACTACCAGCTTTCTGGTTAGCAGTCAAATGCCTTAGGCACTACATGACCAGATACATGCATAAATAATTTCATAACACTTAAAAGAAAACCCGACCCAAAAAATTTAAATCATTTCCATCACAGCAAACCCATAACGTAGGTAGGGCATGTCCATTTTGCAGATAAGAAAATTAAAGTACAAAAAGATCAGATGATTTTCCCAAGCTCACAAAATCAGGTAACAGAAAAACAGGCCTATATCCTACTCTTTGATTCTCAGTCTAATTTTATTTCTATTAGACTGTGATTGGAAGGAAAAATCGGCAAGAGGAAGTTCCCAGAGGAAAAACAGACCTGAACGTATCTCCTGGCTGCCTCCACATCCTCCTGGCTGGAGGGGTTTCTGGGTTCAGCCCAGTCGCTGTTGATGGTGATGGAAATGATGCCACCTTGACTGGCGCGGTACACATCGTTATACAGATGCCAGGCCTCAGCATGAGCCTTTATTAGGTTGTGGCCAACAATGTAGGGGGCAGTGCCAGGCCTAAAGGAAATTCCTGGCAACACAATAGATGGATGTCAGTGGAGATGCAGGAGGCTGACAGAGTTACTCTCTGCCTACAGATGTCTGCTGTATGTTTGGGGAAAAGAATACAGGTGTTGGAGTTAGGAAGACTGGAATTCAAGCCTGGCTTCACTTCTTATTATTTGGCTGTGTAACTTTGGACAAGTAAGTCAGCCTATCAGTAAAATGGGCAATGCAGAGTTCTTGTGAGAAGGAAATGAAAGGATATATATGAAGGCCCTAACACTGGGTCTAGCAGATAGAAGGTTACTGATAAGTAAGTGTTGTTTACTGTTCCTCTTTCCTCAGAAGAGTGATTCACATCTCAGGTAAAGTACTCAGAACACTGGGTGCCTCAGGAGTGGCCAGCCCAGAGCTCTTTGGAGCCCTATGAAATTGAGGGTTGACAATATAGCTGATGTGAGCAGCTGACCTAAGAGATTTATTGAGAGTAAATGTTATGAGAGCGGCCCCCTCTTGTTGAAAAAAATGGTCAACCAAAGTGCCAAGTCCCGATTGGTAATGATTTGTGGCAGATCACCCCAGATTTTCCAGCATTTCCTAGATTGTCATCTGAGGAATTGCATGGATGAACGCAAATTTACTCTCGTAAACTCAGAACTAGAGGAAAGGAAAATTGGAAGTTTCTCAAGGGCAAGGACAGGTTCACCAGCCCTTAAGCAAACACCCTTAAAGTCTGAAGTATTTGGAATTTTCTGTATTTTGGAAAAGCAGCATGTTACAGATATCCTTCAGTAAGGCCCAGGAGAGTTCTCTATAATCCAGTGTACTCATTTCTCCATATCAGAACTGAGGAATATCACACTAAGTGGGATAAAGACCACAAATAGCCTCATGTTGGTTCAAGTTCAGTTTGACTATGCTTAAATGAGCTCAGGTGAGCCAAATAAATGATCAGAACCATGTGGATTTGGAGATTTTGGAAGGCCAATTGTAGACCTGTACCTTTCCTGCTCTGGTAGCGTAGTGGCTAAAGCACTTCACTGCTAACCAGAAGGCTGGCGGTTCAAACCCACCAGCCACTCCTCGGAAGGAAGGTTGGGCAATCCTACTTCCGTAGTGATACTGCCTCGGAAACCCAAGGAGGGGTCGCTATGAGTCAGGGCTGACTCGACGGCACATAACAACAACAACAACAACAACCTTTCCTGCATCTATTAGACCACACATCTCTGGTCTCCAGAAGCTTCCCACTGGAGACAGGTCAGAGTCATAGAGCAAAGAAGTAAAGCTATTGTGAGGTACTGAGGTATGAAATTCATGTTTCACAAAAGTGGTGTCAGAAACGGAACCCTCTGCTCCCCACTGAACAGCCTTGAGAAAGAGGCAGGGTTTCTGAGGCACTGCAGGTCTTTCCAGGCCTCTCTACCCATGTCACCTGGATTTCATGCCTTCGTGGCTTTAAAAATTCGACACTCCAAAGAGCTGACAAGTCTAACCTGGTACCTTTACCTGGAGCTGAGGTCCCATAGCCATAGCCCTGGTTGGCAATGACAAAGGGTTCATTCAGCGTGATCCAAAATTTCACTTTGTCTCCTAGCCTCTGGAAAAGCACATTTGCATAGTCTTTAAAGCGCTCAATGATAGTATCATTCTCCCAGCCGCCAACATCCTGCAGTGCCTGGGGCAAGTCCCAGTGGTAAATGGTCACCTGTGAAAAAGCCAGATCAGCAGTCCTGTAAGCCTTGCTTTTCAGGTCTGGTATTCCTTAGCAAAACAAAAACAAAATAAACAACAACAAAAAAACCCAAACTCACTGCCATTGAGTTGATTCCAACACATAGTGACCCCCATTGGGTTTCCAAGGTGGTAAATCTTTACAGTAGATTGCCCCATCTTCTTTCTGCAGAGCAGCTGGTGGGTTTGAACCACCAGCCTTCTGGTTAGCAGTTAAATACCTTAGTCACTGCACCACCTTTTATGGGAAGTTCTGACGTTTTATGTGCCAGCATAAAGGAGTGTGCTGTTGCTAAAGCTGAGGATAAATTATGAGACACAAAGGCTAACAGATTTTTTTTTAGAGGGTGGAGAGGCAGCAGCATTAAGGGGTGAGAAATTCACATATCTGGATCCAAAAAGTTTGGGTTTGAACCCTGGCTTTGCCCTCTACTAGATGGGCAATCCTGGGCTTCACTTCATGGAGTTGTCATGGACCTAAATCACATGGAGAGCACATGACAAGCACCCTGGGAGATCATCCATAGGTGGCTATCAGTACAGTCAGAGATTAGAAATGCTAGTGATTCAGAACCTTTCTGGAAGAAATGCACTGGAAGTCTGAGGGTCTGCGGGCCCCAAGAGGATGGAGGCATTTTACGTGTAATGGAACACACCAAAGGACATCACCTGACATGTCTGAAGGCCCTTCCCGGGGCACTGGAAACCCTTCTCTGCTGCAGTCAGATCCGTGTGGTGGCCTTTCTCTTCGCCTGGCCTTCCCTCGAATGACTCCCAAGATACCCCATGTTGATCAGGCTCTCTGCTGTCGTCAGCCTGATGGGGTACTACCCATCTTCAGCCCACACCCAAGTCTTTGTCTTTTCCTGAAATGCTCTTCTTCTGCTTCCCACCATCCAAACCCTCTTCTTCATTCAAGACCCTAAAGATTTTCTTGCTCATAGCCCTTTCTTTTGTGTTGTCTCAACACCCTCAAGCTCTACAGTGTGATTTGGCCCTGAGTTGTGTACTCTCTGGTGCCAGTGTAGAACTGTTATATGTAAAGAACCTCATTGTCCACTAGACAGTGGGGTATTGGAGACAGCAGCTCTGCTCTCTTCTCCTCCGTCATTCACAGGACTCTCTCCATAAAATCCTGCCCAGGCTGGCCTGCTTCCTCCATGTTAACAGAGAAGAGAAAAGGCCAGACAGCACTTTTATTTGGAAAAAGCTTTGGTTTTTTGGGCCCAGGAGAGAAGGGTTGCAATACATGGATTATTTTTGGCTGAGGTGAATACTCTCCATTCATTTCCTACTGCAGAGGAAACAAATAGCGTTACAGAATTGTTATCCTTTTTCAGTCCTTTGTTATAAATGGCCCAGAGGATGGCAAGGAAGGGTTCTTAGGCTCCCAAGTAAAAATAAAAAATGTTGGTGATAGAAATTAAGCTCACGAATGAGTTTCTGTCAACTTATTCATAAATTTATGGCTTAAGAGCACAGGCACCTGTAATCCAGCAATTCTGCCCCTAGGATTGTATGCTACAGACCAACTTTCACACATGTGAGATGATGTATGTCTACAGCTACTCAGGAGTCCTCCTGGGTGACACAGTTAAGCACTCAGTCACTAAGGGGAATCCACCCAGAAGTGCCTGAGAAGAAAGGCTTTGCCATCTACTTCTGAAAGATCAGCTACTGAAGACTCCATGGAGCACAGTTCCACTCTGATACCCATGGGGTAGCTATGGTCAGAAGTAATTTGATGGTAACTGGTTTGGTTTACTTTGTATAGCTACTTGTAGTTTTGGTTACAATAGCAAGAGTGGAGACATGCTAAATGTCCATCAGCAGGAAAATCATTAAAGAAGTGTGATATAAGCAGGATTCCACATAACTGTTAAAAAAGAAAAAAGCAGAATAAATGTGGAAACTCTATTCACCGAGATGGAAATATCTATAAGGAATATTGTTAGATAGAAACCAAAGCAAACACACTGCCATCAAATCAATTCCAACTCATAGCAATCCCTGTAGGGTTTCTAAAGTAAATCTTTACAGAAGCAGCTGATGGGTTCAAACTCCCAATCTTTTGGTTAGCAGCTCACTGCCTTAACCACAGCACCACCAGAGCTCTCTTTGTGAAATAAGAGCAAGTACCAAATAGTATGCATGGTCTGCTACCACCATGAAAAGAAAGGAGAAAAAGAAGTATTCATGCAAACATATACACATATGCTCATCTATTTGCTTATATATACAAAAGAAGGATGCACAAGACTAGCAAAACTGGTTGCCTGTATGGAGGGACCTGGATGGCTGGGGTCAGGGATGGGAAGGAAACTCTTACGCTTTTTGAGTTCTGCTGCATGTGAACTTACAATTTTAAAAATTTAATTTTAAAACTGCATTTTGTGAACTGTTTATGAGTGGCAGAATTTGGTTTGAGACTTTTATTATAACCTGGTGGTGGAATTTGGCATAGTGCCTAAGGCATTTGACTGCTAACCAGAAGGCTGGCAGTTCAAACCCACCAGCCACTCCTTGGAAGGAAATTTGGACAATCTACTTCTGTAGTGATACCGCCTTTGAAACCCAAGGAAGGGTTGCTATGAGTTGGATCCTACTCGATGGCAGTGAGTTTGGTTTTTGGTTTGGAGCAAACTCTCACCTACCAGGGGCTGAGGGAGAGGAGCATGGGGAGTTAGCACAAGGATTCTGAGTTTCTGTTAAAAAAACAAACAAACAAAAAAACACCTCATTAAAACTCACTGCCATTAAGTCTATTACGATTCGTAGCTACCCCCTTTGGATTTCGGAGGCGGTAAATCTTTAAGGAAGTAGATTGCCCCATCTTTCTTCAGCGAAGCGGCTGGTGGGTTTGAACCACCAAGCTTCTGATTAGCAGTCAAATGCCTCAGGTGCTATGCCACCAGAGTTCCCTGAGTTTCTGTTTGTTGTGTGTTGTTGTTATGTGCCATTGAGTCGGATCCAACTCATAGCGACCCCTCCTTGGGTTTCCGAGGCAGTATCACTACGGAAGTAGATTGCCTCATCTTCCTTCTGAGGAGTGGCTGGTGGGTTTGAACCTCCAGCCTTCTGGTTAGCAGTCAAGTGCCTTAGTCACTATGCTACTAGAGCTCCTTGAGTTTAGGGGGATGAAAAACATTTGAAAATTGACAGTGGTGATGGTTGCACAACATGGTGAATGTAATTGATACCATTGAATCATATACTTAAAAATAGTTAAGATGCCAAACTATGGTACATACACACAGTGGAATATTATGCAATACTAAAGAGTAATGTAGAATCTGTGAAACACCACATAACATATATGAACTTGGAGGACATTTTGCTGAGTGAAATAAGTCAATCACAGGACAGATATTGTATTAGTTCACTATTATAAGATGTCAAGGAAAGGTTTATACATGAAAGGAAATTTTCTTTGTTGGTTAACAGGTGGGAGGGGAGGGGAGGGAACACTGCAAAAAATAAAATTTTTTTAAAAAATAGTTAAGATGACAAATGTTTTGCTATATGTATTTTTCACTACAATAAATTTTTTTTTTTTTTTTAAATAGCCTTCATCAAAAATGCATTTTGTTTCCACAGTAAACATGGCCCCCAATCCAGCTTGACATCCCCACAGGCTGCAGCCCATCTCACCTGGGGCTTGATGCTGGCAGCCAGAAGGGCATCAATAAGCCGCACATAGTAGTTCAGGCCTGCTTCATTGATGTACTTTGTGGTTCCATCTGGGAGAATGCGGGACCAGGAGATGGAAAACCGGTAGTGGGATACACCCAAGTTCTTTAGAGCTGCCACGTCCTCGGCAATCTTGTGATAACTGTCACAGGCCACGTCTCCGGTGTCATCATTCCCCACTCTTAGAGGTGTGTGAGAAAACGTGTCCCAAATACTGAGTCCTTTGCCATCTTCTCTCCACGCACCTTCGATCTCAAGAAGACAAGGTGGGTCTAATTAAATCATTCAGTCAAGCCCCTCACAAGTTCCTTAGCCTTCCTGTCAGCAAATGAGTCCCAAGTCAGGACGTAAGTCACCATCACCTTCTCTGGGAGCCTCATCTTCCCACCTGTCATAGTTATCTAATGTTGCTGTAACAGAAAACATGGCTTTCACAAACATAAATTTATTCTCACAAGTTAGGAGGCTAGCGAGTTCAGAGCACCAGTTCGAGGGAAAGGCTTTCTCTCTCTGTCTCTTTTGGACCTAGGAGGCTCCAGAGCAGGGACCCTGGGTCTAAATAATGTGCTTGACTCCTGGCTCTTCTTTCTTGGTGGTGGTAGGGACCCCAACCTCTGCTTGCTTCTCTCTCCTTTTATCTCTTGTAAGATAAAAAGTATTGCAGGTCCCCAGGGAAACTCCTCTTACATCAGACCAGGGCTGTGATGGGATCAAAAGTGTTGTAGCTCACCCTAATCCTCTTACAAATGATCAGTTTACCACATCAGATCACACTGTGGGGAATCATTACATAACTGCCACATTATGTCATTACGTAACTGCCAAACCACTGAGAAAGTTGACAGATATTTTGGGTGGACACAGTTCAATCCATGACACTACCCCTCTGATTTCTGAACTCCCAATGTTTTCTGTAAACACACATGGCATCATCATACTGTGTTACACAACTGTTTGCCTATTGAGTGACTTCCCATAAGACTGTGAGGTCTGGGTATTTGTCTTTCATCTTGACATCCCAGCATTGGGGGCAGCAATGCCTGGTGTAGGGCAGGTGTTCAGTAAAGTTTTGAATGAACAATCTCCCCACCCTCCATGAAATCCTGACCAAACAAATTCCCAAGATGCCAGGTGTGGAGGCAGAATTTCTAATCAGGACAGGTGTCACTGTGTCTGTGCCTCCCATTTCTCCTCCCACCCATCCTATGGGGAAACTGCCTATAATCTTAAATTGCCTGACAAGCATACATTGTGTAATTTACTCTGCATACATGGTATGTGATATTGTGTGACAAGATGAAGGCTGGACTTCAAATCAAGAATGCATATCCATGGCATTTCAGCAAAGAATCTATATATTTCCTTGTCTTTGTCCAAGTGTTTCTGCCCAGACTCCACCTACTCCATCTCACACAGCCAACCAAACCATGCTGATCTGACCAAATTTGAGGATGAGCAGAAGCCAGCCTTTTGGGGAGGAGGACATCCCAGATTCTCCACAACACTGTTCTGCCTCCCCACAGGGCAGTAAGTAGACTCTACTGAAATCTCTGCTCACACGCCTGTCCTCCCCAGTAGCCTATCACTTAGCCCAGAGCGTAGCACTTAGTAGGTATGTAACAAATGTTTGTCAAACTGCACTAAACTCCTCACCTGATATGCAGCAGAAGCTGCACTCCAGATGAAGTTGTCAGGAAACTGTCCATACAGAAACTCATCTTCCTTGGGCAGTGGCATGCCATTGTTGGTAATGACTTCTGTGTAGTACCTGGTGGAGGCTCTTGCTGTTCATGGCCTGCTCAAGTCATTAAAATTAACATAGTACAGTCCAAACTTGACTGTATAGCCATTCAGCCATTCAAAGTTGTCCATCAGAGACCATGCCACATAACCTCGAAGGTCTACACCATCGAGCCTGTAGGCTGGGAATATTCCAAGGGGAACAGAGAAAAGAGTTTTACACCATGAGACAGGGTCTCCAACAAGCCCAGCCAATTCATCTCAACTCAAGACAGTATTTCTAAACCATCAATACAGCTTTGCCCTAGATACACAGATCATCTTAATTATCTTTCTTTTTGCTGGCATTGATGACCACATGGGAAGTATTAATGATGGATCTTTATAAAATCAGATTCTTTTGTTGTGGTAAAGGTTTATGTCTTAACTTCAAGAATCTCTGCCCACCTTCACACTTTAAAAGTAGAAGAGCGAATTAGAGAAGAGTTTCTTGCTCTGGGATCCATGGAACCTACCAGTATATAAGCTCCATGAGAGCAGAAATGTATATGTTCCGTTTATTGTTATTCCCTGCACCTATACCCTGTCACATAATAGTTGCTCAATAAATCTTTCTTGTTGTTGTTGTTAAGTGCCGTCGAGTCGTTTCCAACTCATAGCGATCCCATGCACAGCAGAACAAAACACTGCCCGATCCCGTGCCAGCCCCACAATCCCTGCTATACTTGAGCCCATCATCGCAGCCACCGTATCAATCCATCTTGTTGAAGGCCTCCCCCTCTTTCGTCGACCCTCCACCCTACCAAGCATGACATCCTTCTCCAGGGAATGGTCCCTTCTTACAACATGACCAAAATATGTGAGATGAAGTCTGGCCATTCTTGCTTCCAAGGAGCATTCTGGCTGCACTTCCTCCAGGAGAGATCTGTTAGTTCTTTTAGCAGTCCATGGTACTTTCAGCATTCTCCGCCAGCACCACAACTCAAAATCATCAACTCTTCTTCAGTCTTCCTTAAGAAATCTTTCTTAGATAAAGCAAATCTATTTACCTATGAAAATACCCTTGTGAGCACTCTGTGTGTACATTTGTGCATTTTCTCTGGGGAGATGACTATAGTTTTTTTTCAGCATCTCAAAGGAAAAGGTAACCCTCAAATAGGTAAAGAATCATGGAATTAGAGCTTAGGAAAGAGATACTAGTTGATAGTTCATAAAGCACTTCAGGCACATGACATATGGGTATGGGATGATTTTGTAAAGGGGTTGAGAACCCTCACATACCTTTCAAAGCTTCATTGATGTAGGTTTTATGGTAAAATATCCTATCGGTGTCCTCCACTTTTGGATTTGTCAGCCCCACTCCATTTTCAGTGATGTAAATGGGAATGTCACCATACTCTTCTTTGACCCAGTTTAGCAGTCTTCGTAAGCCCCAGGGCACAGCTCTGCTCATGGCCGTGGAAGGCCACGAAGCATCCTCCTCCTCTGTTGTCTCCTGGTCGTCTTCATAGGAAGGTGGGTTTAGCCTCGGTGTTTTATGCTGCACAATCCTGGAGGAGTAGGTGTTGAGGCAGAAGACATCGGCAGTACCCTTAACATACCTCTTCTCTTCCTCAGTGAAGCTTGGCAGACGGGAGGCGGCTAGGTGTTGTAGTTCACTCCTGTTCCCCACTGTCCACTTCATGGCATTGGGATAGTCTCCATTTCTGAAAATGGGGTGGGCGAACCAACCCAGGGAGAACTGCAGCATTCGGTCAGCAGCTTCCACGTCTCTTGGGACCCCTGGTGACTTGGGCTCTGCCCAGTGTGCATTAAGGCTCAGTGATATCACACCCTTCTGCTTTTGCCTATACTTCTCATCATAAGTGTGATAGACTCTGGCATGAGCTTTGATGACAGCATGGCCAATCCTATAAGGTGCCCAGCCTGGGTCCTTCACCTTTGGAGGAAAATCCCCTGAGCCATAACCTACCCAGGCCTGGTACATGGGCTCATTAAAGGTCATCCAGAACTTGACTCTGTCACCAAAGGTCTGGAAACAAAAGTCTGCATAGCTGTCAAATATCTCAATCAAGGAAGGATTATCCCAGCCTCCAATATCCTGGAGGGCTTGTGGCAAGTCCCAGTGGAATAGTGTCACCATGGGAGTGATGTTGCTTGCCATTAAGCCATTGATCAACCTGTTGTAATAATCAACACCATGACTGTTGATAGAACTGTTTCTCCCAGTTGGGAAAATCCGAGACCAGGAGATAGAAAAACGGTAGGCCTTTACCTTCAAAGCTCGGAGCATATTCAGATCTGCATCTAATTGGTTATAGCTGTCACAGGCTATATCTCCAGTGGCATTGTCTTTCACATTGTTCCCTGGTGTGTGAGTAAAATTATCCCAAATGCTGGGACCTTTGCCATCGGCATCCCAAGCTCCTTCAATTTGATAGGCTGAAGAGGACACACCCCACAGAAAGTCATCCCGAAACGTGCCGTGGTAGAACAGATCTCTTTCAAACTTGGGTTGGTTCGAGAATTTTTCCCAAACTACTTTAGCCTTGGAAGGCACCTCAGATGGAAAAGCAAAGGCCCTAATTTTGGGAGGGTCATTTGGTGTAATAGGTGGTGGCAGCTTATTTGGTGAGGAAACCTTAGTGAGGAAGCCATTCTTTTCAATGATGCTGGTGAAAAAGTAGGCAGATCTCCTGGGAGTTCTGGGTTTGCTGCTGTCACTGAAGTTGACATGGTGAAGCCCAAACCTCTGACTGTAGCCCGAGGGACCTTCGAAGCCATCAACAAAGGAACGAACAACGTAAGAACGAACATCCACAGAGTCCTCCTTGATAGCTGTGAAGAAAAACAAAAGTTGGGGTTATTTTAAATTCTCTGTTACTGTGGCTAATTTTAAAAAGTTTTCCTTTAGATAAAGTTTTGGAGGTGACTTGGGCTAACCAAAAAAAGTTAACTCCTTTTTCCTCTTCAGAATGAATAGAAAGAAAATACATATCAGATCACTTCTGTGACCATAAATCTCAATCCAAAGGAGCATCCTTGCCTTATAATGAATAATAAAAAGAATGTATCCCATATAAGGAAACTTTCTTTGTTGGTTACCAAGGATGGAAGAGGAGGGGAGGCTAAATTCTTGATAGGTTGGAAGGAAAAAAATACACACACACACACACACACACATATGTATATATATGCCAATCTGAATATGTTCTGAGCTTTGAAGGTAAAGGCCTATTGTTTTTCTATCTCCTGGTCTTGGATTTTCCCAACTGGGAGAAAGAGTTCTATCAACAGCCTTCTATTAGGAGCCTTCTGGTTAGCAGTCAAATCATTTCATCTTTTAAAAATGTGTTTTTACTCCTTGGAGAGAAAAATCATGGGAGAAAGAAGGGCTGCTTATGCACAGGGAGATAGCTCAGGGAGCAGGAGTATATGGAGGGATGGACACTGGGAAGAGGTAACTATGGGGAGGAAGTGGGAGGGGAGCTGTTGCATTGTGGTAAACTGTGGTCAATGATATGAGACAATGTATATGTGAACTGATGTATGGAAAGTGAATTTGCTCTGTAAATCTTCACCCAAATCACAATAAAAAAAATGTGTTTTTATTTTTTCTCAGTTACATTTAATAATATGACATAAAATGATCACTTATTCCACACTAAATAAGAGAAACAAAGCTTAAAGAAATCCCTGACTCATCTCTAATTATGCACATGATAGTCTAGCAAGTTAACCAAGAATGAGAACCAAAATATGGCAATGGCTATAGTTTCCAATTTGGAGCCAGAAATGTGTTAAGTCTTGTTTTTATTGGTCTCTACAGCCTCTCAACAAATATTTTGATTGTATAAAAGGAAGGTAAATTTGCTCATTCAGTCAGGCAATAATTGATGAAGCACTTACTCTAGGCCTGTGGTAGGCCTTGGAGACACAAAGATGAATAAAAGTCTCATAGCTTAGTGGGTGGAGGGGAAAAGTGAGCCAGAAATAAAAAGGACTATGGTTCCAACCTGTGTTAGTTAAGGTTTTGTGCCAATTTGGCTAGGCCTAGTTTAAGTGGTTGGGCAGCTGAATGTAGTATTCCCCATGATAAAACTGATAATCAACTCCACAGTGGAATCTACTGGGAGCAGCTGGGTAGCTGATTTAAGGATGTGGTCTGCTCCTAGTATACAAGGAGAAGTTTTAGGAATGGTTTGTAGCTTTTGGCATATTTAAATCCTGCATGTAGCCGAGTCATTGTTCAGCAGCTTACCATGTTGTCTGCTGATATTGGGACTCTTAATGGACTTGAATCAGTGGCCTGCTGTGTGGTTTGGTAATATTGGGACTGTGCTTTTTTATTTGTCAACCATGGGCTTGTTAGCCTCAGCAACCAGCAGCTGCCTGAATGAAGAGACAATTCTAGCTCCAGTGGGCCAGGAGCCAGAGGCAGAAATGAAGCGCAAGGTCGCAGGGCTCTCACCCAGCTCCTAGAGCTTGGCACTTTGAACTTGGACTTCTCGCTTCCAAAACTATAAGAGAATAAATTTCTGTTTGTTTAAAACCACCCATTTATGGTATTTTCTATTAGAGCGGCATGAAGTATCCAAAACACAACCTTATGCCAAGAAATTTGAAAGACAGCAACCAGGCCAACAAACTGGAAGAGATACATATTTGTGCCCATTTCAAAGAAAGATGACCCAACAGAATGCAGAAATTATCGAACAATATCATTAATATCACTTGCAAGTAAAATTTTGATGAAAATAACAGTTGCAGCACCATATTGGCAAGGAACTTCCAGAAATTCAAGCTGGATTCAGAAGAGGGTGTAGAGTGAGGGATATCATTGCTGACATCAGAAGGATCTTGGCTGAACACAGAGAATACCAGAAAGATGTTTACCTGTGTTTTATTTACTTTGCAAAGGCATTCAACTTTGGATAACATTTCAAAGTAGGGGAATTCCAGAACACTTAATTGTGCTCATGAGGAACCTGTACCTAAACCAAGAGGCAGTTTTTTTTTTTTCTCAATTGTGATTTGGGTGAAGATTTACAGAGCAAATTCACTTTCCATACAGCAGTTCACATACACTTTGTCTCATGACATTGACCACAGTTTACCATAATGCAACAGCTCCCCTCTCACTTCCTCCCCATAGTCACCTCTTCCCAGTGTCCATCCCTCCATGCACCCCTGCCCCAAGCTGTCTCCCTGTCCATAAGCAGCCCTTCTTTCACCCAATGATTGTTATCTCCAAGGAGTGTATCTACCTGAAGAGGCAGTTTTTTTTAAGATGAAAAAGGTATATGCATGGTTTAAAATTAGGAAGCATGTGCATCAGGGTTGTGTCTTTTCACTGTACTTATTCAATCTGTACAACTGAGCAAATAATCTGAGAAGCTATACTATCTGAAAAAGGACATGGCATCAGATTGGAGGAAGACTCATTAACAACCTGCAAATGCAGATGACACAACTTTGCTTGCTGAAAGTGAAGAAGACTTGAAGCACTTACTAATGAAGATCAAAGACTCCAGCCTTTAGTATGGATTACACCTTAATACAAAGAAAACAAAAATCCTCACAGCTGAGAAAAACAACATCATTGAAGGTGTCAGGGATTTCATTTTACTTGGATACACAATCAAGACCATAGAAGCAGCAATTGAGAAATCAAATTGACATATTTTGGGCAAATCTGCTGAAAAGATCTCTTTAAAGTGTTAAATAGCAAAGAAATTACTTTGAAGACTAAGGTGCACCTGACCTAAGCCATGGTACTTTTAATAGCCTCATATGCATGCGAAAGCCAGACAATGAAAAAAGAAGACTGGAGGAGAATTGATGCCTTTGAATTGTGGTGTTGGTGAAGAATACTGAAAATTCCATGGACTGCTAGGACAAAAAAATCTGTCTTGGAGGAAGTACAACCAGAATGTTCCTTAGAATGAGAATGGCCAGACTTCATCTCATCAACTTTGGTCATATTGTGAGAAGGGACCAGACACTGGAGAAGGGTATCCCGCCTGGTAAAGTTAAGGGTCAGTGAAAGAGGGAAAGATCTTCAACAAGATGGACTGATAACAGTGGCTGTAACAAAGGGTCAAACACAGCAAGGGTTGTGGGGATGGCACAGGATTGGGCAGTGTTTCCTACTGTTGTACGTAGAGTTGTTATGAGTCAGAGCCAACTCGATGGCACCTAACAACAACAACATGATTCCAACCTTGGGTCCTGCACTCACTGAATCATTTAATCTCTCAGAGCTTCACTAATTGCAGTTCTCCCATGAAGATAATATCTGCCCCAATTTAGTGCACAGGGCTCTTTCCAGGATCACATGTGATACTGTCTTGAAGGGTTCTAAAGGTAATGAAGATGACAGAATTGTAGCCTTGATGATGAGAAAAATACAGTATAAGAGAGGCTCTGACCACATGAACAGGGCTGGCAAGTACATGGGATGTGAGTCTCCATTCCTTGCTTCAGTACCCATGGCAGGCATCAACTGTCAACTCTTTCTCTCTGCATTTAGACAAGGCCTTGAAAGCTTCTCAACAAGGCAGATGGCTAACCACTATCAATTGCTTAGGACTGACATACAAGGGGGAGCTCTGGTAGCATAGTGGCTAAGACACTTGCCTGCTAACCAGACGGCTGGTGGTTCAAACCCACCAGCCACTCCTCGGAAGGAAGGTTGGGCAATCCTACTTCCGTAGTGATACTGCCTCGGAAACCCAAGGAGGGGTCGCTATGAGTCAGGTTTGACTCGATGGCACATAACAACAACAACAACAAAGACATACAAGGTGAAACCTATTTACCATCCCTCTTTACTTGGGATAAAAAGACATATGAAACAGAATGTTAGGTAAGAATGAGGCTGTAGATAATGATCAACTGGATCAGAATTAGTGACATGGAATATAGACAATATAGGTTTTATAGCTAGTTAAAGGAGATGGAGATCAGTGTGGTTGGAGAAATGATGGAAGATTTTATTGGTTAGAGTCTCATCATAAGTGTCTGCATGCCATTCTGTAATGCCTTTATCACCTTATATTGTGATTGTGTTCCTTCTGTAGACTATAAGTTCCTTATGTGAAAGGGCAATGTGTGTTCAGTATTATACCATTGTCTGGCACATAATAGGCACTCAATAAATATTTGTTAAGTAAATACATTAAATGGTAATGAAGCTTACCTGAGGTAGATACACTACTTGAAGAGAACAATCATGGGAGAAAGAAGGGCTATTTATGTACAGTGAGACAGCTCATGGGGCAGGAAGGCATGGATGGATGGACACAGGGAAGAGGTAACTACCAAGAGGAAGTGAGAGGGGAGTTGTTGCATTGTGGTAAATTGCAGTCAATGTCATGAGACAAAGTGTATATGAACTGCTGTATGGAAAATGAATTTGCTCTGTAAATTTTCACCCAAATCACAATTAAAAAAAAAAAAAAAAAGAATTGCACTTAAACCGCCCCCCTCCCCCAAAAATGAAAATGAGGCTTGATGAAGGGGTTGGACTCAGATGGACAGAAAGTTAGAAAGGAGGCCATCTAGGAAATAATAAAAGCACGGGAGCAAATACATTAGAGTTAGTAGACTAATATGAAGGACTTCTCCTGTTACCACCAATAGTACCTTTTGGCTTCATTTCCTTGGGAGACTGTCTTGGTCCCTTTAAACCAAACTCTGAAGGCTTGGAGAAGTACCACCCACCTTCCAATCACTAGCACTCTCCCATGTCTTACCTTTGAGCACTTCATTAATATACTGATTGAAGCAGTCCACTCTCAAGGAATCATCAAGGAGATTTTCACTTTCTTCTATGGGTATGCCATTCCCAGCTATGTAGATTGGAACGTTTCCTTTTGTGTATTCCAAGGATATAAACTTCAACAGCCTCCTTAAACCCCAGGGCACCACACGAATCCAAGGGGATGAGGTCTGAGGCCATTCAGGGTCCACATGTTGGGAGAAGCCTCCAATGGTATCAAAGCTGGGGATACATGTGTTTTGCTGAGCCTCACTGATGAGGTGGGAAGTGTAATGGGACAGTCCCAGAAAGTCAGCTGATCCTTTCAACAACTGCTTCTCTGTCTCAGTGAACTCAGGGAGCTGAGCCACAGGTCTGGGGCACTGTTTGTTCATCTGTTGGATCTGAGCTTTCAGGGAAGCTGGGTAGTCACCATCCACAAAGATGGGGTGTGCAAACCAGCCCAGCATGAATTGCAAGAAGCGCTCAGAGGCCCTCAGGTCCTCAGGATTCTCTGGGGACAGGGGCTCTGCCCAGTCTGAGTTTAACACAATGCCCACGTGCCCCTGGTGTTGCAGGCGATGGTGACTGTTGTAGTGGTCCCAAACTCTGGCATGAGCCTTGAGGACCAAGTGAGCTACCTTGTTAGAAGGAAATACAGTGCTTAATAACAATAATATCAACAAGTCAACACCAGTGTTAACATCAACAGTCAATAAATCAACTACAACATCAATAAGTTAATACTGATACTAACAATATCAACAAATCAAGGACGCTGATGTTAACATCAACAACAATGTTGACAATTTCATCAAGCCAATAATGTCAATAACAAATCAACAAGTCGATGACTATATCAACAAGGTTAACAGGAACAACTAATAGGTATTGAGCACCTACAGCTCAATGAATTCTCTCATGTAATCCTCACAATTAGCTTATGTGGCAGGTACAATTATTATTATCACTTTATAGATGTGGAAAACAAGATCCAGAGAGATATAATAATTTGTTCCATGTGGTTAGTAAGAGGTAGGAGCAAGATACAAAACAATAGTAGTCTGAATCCAAGCCAGTATTGTCACTTAAAACACTATTATCTGTCCCCAGTAAATGCTTACTAACCATGGGGAGAAATTATTTTAATGATCCTACAAAGGTGAGGACCATTCTTTCTAGCCTATCTGTTCTTCTTTCTACTTAATAAAATCTAAGAAGAAAAAACAACCAGAGATTTCTTTGTAGAATTAATTTATAGTCTTACAAAAATCAAGTTTTCCTTGGTAAAACATCAAGGGAACATAGTGATAAAGAGGGATTTCTCGAGGATACCAAGCATAAATCTGAATCTTGCCTCTGCCACTAACTTGCTGTATCAATTCGATCAGTCTTCTGTCTCAACTTCAGCTTCCTTGTCTGTAATCCTACTGTCATTGAGTCAATTCAGACTCATAGCAACCCCTTAGGACAGAATAGAACTGCCCCATGGGGTTTCCAAGGCTGTAAATCTTTATGGAAGCAGACTGCTTCATCTTTCTCCTATAGAAAAGCTAGTGGGTTTGAACCACTGACCTTTTGGTTGGCAGCCAAATGCTTTAACCACTATGCTACCAGAACTTCTTTCCTTGTCTATAAGAAGGGGGTAATCATGGATACTTCTGGGTGGATTAAGTAAAATACATGCATATGAAACACCAGACAAAAGCCTGGAGTACAGAGGGAAGTTTGCTAAATCTTAGGTCCCTTTCCTTTATCACTTTTATCATCTGACAATGTTAACACTTGAGTTAACATTGAAATTCATACCTAAATATGTTCCTAGGATATGAAACTCCTGGTTATTTCTTGTGTCCCAAATGTTAGTTTTCAATTGGGTCTTACCCTCCAATGGCAAACTGTGCACCTTCCCAAAAGGCAGGAATGCTTCATATCAAAACTGTCAGAGCCAGGTAGGGTGCTCAACAGAATATTACACAACCATCAGAAATAATCATTATGACCATGTAATAATATGGAAAAGTAGACCACTGTCAATCACTTCTAAAGGGATCAGTACGGCAGATCCTGGATAGAGTGGGAGAACAATGTGGAACAAAACTCAAATTCATAAAAAATACCAGGTTTACTGGTCTGACAGAGCCTGATGAAATCCCCAAGACTATGGTCCCTACTTACCATTCAGATCTAGAATTGAACTCACTCCCATGGCTTCCAGCCAAATAATAGACAGGTATATAGGATGGACATTTATATTAGGTAGATACTCCTTAGAATGATCAATAACGGGAGAACAGAAGGGCAGTTTTTGCACAGGGAGATAGCTCGGGCGGCGGGCAGGAATGTGTAGGAAAGACACAGGGAAGAGCTAACTATAGAGAGGAAATGGGAAGAGAGCTGTTACACTGTGAGGAATTGCAGTCAATGTCATGAAACAAAATGTATATGAACTGCTGTATGGAAAGTGAATTTTCTCTGGAAACTTTCACCCAAATCACAATAAAAATTAAAAAAGAAAAGAAAAAAACATAGAAAAATGGTAACAACATGATACCGAGTAAAAAATGAGCAGTAAACTGAGTGTCACTGTGACTATGCTATGACTACAAAGAAGCAAGACTGGAAGGAAATACTGGTAGAATGAGAGAAATCTTTCTTTGAAAGATTTCCTTAATGGTATTATCAAGTCTTAACCAGTAAAAACAAAAACAAGCGTTGATAGAAGAACTTCAAAAGTGGAGAAACTTCCTCTTAATATTTCTGTAGGAAAATCTCAGGAGCTACCATTTAAAGGGATAAGAATTCTAAGAAGAAAAGGTTTTTTTGGGGGCGGGGCTTACAACCCAGACACACAGGGAAGTGTTCTCTCTCTACATGCAGGGCTGTTAGATGAACAAAAGCAGAATGGAAGCTTTGAGTCATTTATTCATGGTATTCCAGTTCACCTTGTGTACATTTTTAATTGTTCTCTAACTGTATTATGTGTGTCAGTACATCTTCCTCAAGTACATCTCAAGGACATGAACTTTGTATCTTCCTGACACTTAGCATGAGCACAGTAAATACTCAAATTTCAGAACTGCGGAAGGGAGTAGTCTGAGTACATCCCGCTGCCTCTCCCTGTGACCCACAAACAAATCTTGTCCTTAGGACCAGATGCATCAATTTGGCTTATTGGATGTGATGTGAGTATAGGATGACTCCCTTTCTATGACTGAAATTGTATAAAATTTAAATTATATAAAAGTTGAAATTGTATAAACTTATGTGTTTTGACCCAAAACACATCCCATAGAAGCCTATCAGCATATCCCTTCCCTGTTGCTCTGAGCACTTGTCAATGTTTCTTCTAAGAACTGCTTAGCTAAACATGTGTCTTATAAGGCATCTGGTCAACCCCACTTCTATATTGTTCCAGCAGGGAGGGAATGAGGTTTTCTGCTTGCAGCACAAGAGGGGTGCATGCTAACTATTTCTCTGTATTTACACAGCAAATTCATCTCCCATTCAACAATGTATACACAAATTGTTTCATGACATTGGTTGCTACCCCCACAACGTGTCAATACTCTTCCCATTTCCACCCTGCCTTCCATACTTCCTTCCTTCCAGTTTCCCTGCTCTTCCTTGCCTTCTCGTCTTTGCTCTTCAGCAAATATTGTCCATTGGTGTTTGGTCTTCTGTAGTTGATTGTTCTAAGAAGCACATTCCCCATGGGTTTATTTCATGGACCAATCTATTATTTGGCTGAAAGGTGACCTCCAGGAGTGGCTTCAGTTCCAGGTTAAAAGGGCAATAGTCTTAGGTGTTCCTCCAGTCCAGTAAGTCTAGTCTTTTTTATGAATTTGAGTTTTGGTCTATGTTTTTCTCCCATTATAACTGGGACTTTCTATTGTGTCCCTAGTAAGATTTATCAGTAATGGTAGCTGGGCACCATCTAGTTCTTCTGGTCTCTGGTTAGAGAAGGTTGTGGTTCATATGGCCATTAGTCCTGTTAATCAATTGCTTCTTTAAGTCTTTGGTTTCCTTCATTCTCCTTTGCTCCAGATGGGGAGAGACCAATAGTTTTATCTTAGATGGCCACTCACAAGCTTTTAAGACCCCAGATGCTACTCACCAAATTAGGATGTAGAACATTATCTTTGTGAACTATGTTATGCCAATTAACTTAGATGTCCCCAAGACTGTGGTCCTTAGCCTTTAAGCTCAGTAACTCAGTACCACAAGAAATTTCCTTAACTGTGCCTTCTATGTACTCTATTATATATGTGTGTGTGTGTGTGTGTGTGTGTGAATATATATGCAGTACATACACATATGTATATGCAAATGTCCACAACTATAACTATATATGCACATGCACATATTGAGTCTTCTCTTTACTGATGACCCGGGCACCTGCAAACTATAGAATGGGTTACTATCTTCCATGTAATGGGACTCCTCCTCTGGAGATGGTAACAGGGGTCACTTGTTCAAGAAGAACAGAATCAGAAGTATGGCAGAGGGGAGAGCCAGACCAATGTGTCTTCTCTAAAGAATGTTGCCAGGGAAACTGATGTATCTTCTGAGAGACTTTGAAGAAAAATGAATTAATACCCTGAAATATATTGAAATAATCTTGTTGAAATATCCTGATTGTGCTCTGGGAAACTAGCCCCTCCTCTGTCCCTTCAGCCAGTGTGTTTAGGGCTAGAGCCTGGGATCTTGACTCAAGTCAATCAGTGCACCACAATTCCTTCACCCTGGCCCCATGATAAATTTAGGAACAGCTTTGTGGATTAATCAGAAACTAGAAGACACATGATGACTTTTGCTGAGAATGCCAGAACAGAGGCCAGCTTTCTTTCCTGCTTGTCCTGAAATATGAAAGGAAGGTTGCTGCCATCTGGCTACTAAGTAGTATGAGGATAAAGCCAATGAAGGGAGAAAGATAGGGAGAAAAATTGGATTCTGGTGACACTGTATGTATCCTAATTAAGCTTCACCCTGATCAAGCTACAACCAAGACATTTCAATATCCTGAACTCGTAAATTCCCTCTGTCTTATATCAGTTTGGTTTGGGTTTTTGTCATTTGCAACTAAGAGTTCTAGATGACATGCAGCACTTGCTTTGGAGTCAAGTACACTTGGGCTCAAATCCTGGCTGCAGACTATCAACCCACTAGCAATGTCATCATGACCCAATTGTTTCTCCTCTCTGAGCCCCCAATTCCCTCCCCATCACTGCTATTCTGGGGATATAATAATTATTTTTAAAGTGTCAGCACAATGTCTGGACAAAATAGGTGATTAACAATTTGTGATTCCTTCCTTCCCTTTGATTTTCTTTAAAAGACAAAAAGTAAAGTCTTGCTCATGAGTAAGAGAGACGCTTCTCTAATTAGCAGAAACTGCAGGGATGGGAAATACCTTAAAAGAGGACACTCCTGGGTCTGAGATGCCCGGTGCATGTTGGCCAGTGCCATAACCCGCATAGCTCATCACCCATGGCTCGTGGAAGGTCACCCACAGCTTCACACGGTCTCCAAAAGTGGAGAAGCAGAAAGCTGCATAGTCCAGGAAAGCATCCACCACACTGTCATTCTGCCACCCACCTCCATCCTGTAGGACCTGGGGCAGGTCCCAGTGGAACAGGGTCACCATGGGTTCAATATGAGAGTCCAGCAGGCTGTCAATCAGCTTGTTGTAGTAGGCGACACCATGAGGACTAGGGTTGCTGCTGTGCCCAGTGGGAAAGATCCGGGACCAGGAAATGGAAAACTTGTAGACCTGAACCCGGAGGCCACGAAGCAGGGCCACATCAGAGTCCACCTTGTGGTAACTGTCACTGGCCACCTCTGGCGTTGCTTGGCCCTCAGCAGCTTGCTGGTGTCCATGTTGGTCCCAGACACTTGGCCCCCGTCCATCCTCAGCCCAGCCTCCTTCCACTTTAAAAGCTCCCGTGGAGACGCCCCAGAGAAAGCCTTCAGGAAAAACATCTCTCAGGAAAGCATCCCTCTCTTTTTGGGACTGGTTCACAAACATTTCCCAGACCCTCTGATAGGCGGAGACAGGGGAAGAAGAGAGAACTACCATTTCATGTTCCTGCTGCTGATCAGCCTGGAGGGTCAGGGTGTTGGTCAGAGAACAAGAGCTGCTGCTGTAGGATCAAAATTATATAAAAGGACATAAAAATTAATGACTCTGCGAGTTACAAATACCCTCATACCAAAGAATAACGACAGTGTGTTTAATCAGTAAAGGTTCTAGAAACAATCACTGAAGAGCCATATCCACAAAGTTATGTACAGGAAGTGACCAGTAGATGGGAAGATTTTTACTATTAACTTTTTTAGGCAAGTTATTATTACTCTTGTGTGAGTAAAACACTATAATAATGCCACTGTTGTCTGTAGTAGATTGCTTTTGAATACTGTGTTCGGTTCTGGTGTCATACTTTGTTTTTATTACAATTTATTGTTTATAAAATATAAATTTTATATAATTCACAATTATTATATATTTTATAAATAGTAAATTATTATATAATTATACCTAAGGAGCTCTGGTGGCACAGTGCCTAAGGCTAACCAGAAAGTTCGTGGTTCAAACTCACCAGCTGCTCTGCAGAAGGAAGATGGGGCAATCTACTTCCGTAAAGATTTACCACCTCGAAAACCCAATGGGGGTTGTTCTATGAGTCAGAATTGACTGGATGGCAGTGAAGGTTTTTTTGGTATATAATATAGTTATATTATAAGGTTGGGCAATCCTACTTCTGTAGTGATACTGCCTCGGAAACCCAAGGAGGGGTCGCTGTGAGTCGGGGCCGACTCGACGGCACATAACAACAACAACAACAACAATATATAACTATATATAATTTATACATAAATTATATATAGTTATAGCAATCTGATAGTAATATAAGGAGCTCTGGTGGCACAGTGCCTAAGGCATTTGACTGCTAACAAGAAGGTTAGCAGTTCAAACCCACCAGCTACTCCTTGGATGGAAGATCTTTACTTCTGCAAAGATTTACCTCCGTGGAAACTCAATGATGTTGTTGTAAGTGCTACTGAGTTTATTTCAACTCATAGTGACCCCATGTGACAGAACAGAGAACTGCCCCAGCAGTTTTTTTTGTTTTGTTTTGTTTGTTTTTTTAAATAGCTGTAATATTTATGGAAGCCAATTTCCAGGTCTTTCTCCCACGGAGCTGCTGGCTGGGTTCTAACCATTAACTTTTTGGTTAATACTTACCAGTTTGTGCCACCAGGATTCCTAAACAAATAACAATGATGACTAGGATTTATTGAGCCTCTACTCTGTGCTGAAGGAGTTCTGGTGGTATAGTGGATAAGACATTTTGGCTGCTAACCAGAAGGTCAGCAGTTCAAACCCACCAGCTACTCTGTGGGAGGAAGATGAGGCAATCTACTTGCTAATTCATAGCCTTGGAAACCCAATGGGGGTCACTATGAGTTGGAATTGACTAGAGGGCAGTGGATTTGGGTTGTTTTTTTTTTTAAAATTCTGTGCTGACCATGGTGAATTTATGTGTATTATCTCATTTCCTTTTCACAACAAATTTATGAGATTAGTACTACAATCATCCTCATTCTACAGATGAGGAAAGGGAGACCTGAAGAAATGAATAATTTCTTCATGACACAGCTTGCAAGAAGTGGAGCACAGTTGTGCTTTTAACCACTATATATACGTGCAGATGTGCAAGTGTTTATGCATATGTGTGTATGTGTACAACTGGATCAAAAGTATCACATAAAAATGCTAATATTTACTGCAGGCAATGCACTCTGATGTTTTCTATCTTGTTCTAGTCCTTTTCCCTTTCTCTCTCGTGCCTCTTCTTTTCTTCCTTCTTACTTTATTTTTAAATATAGTTACAAAACTCTATAAACAGATTTCACTATGTACTAAGGACACCTGTCCACTCAGTGGAAAGCTGCACCACAGCATGCTGAAAACTACACCCAGAAGAGGGCAACCACAAGGAGGGGTTGTCGGTAGTAGGTGTGCTTTGTCTGAAGAAGAGAATATATGTGGGAAAAAGGAAGTGGAATACAAGAGGGCCATCAGTGGAGAGGAATGATGCTCATGCTGTGTTGGCCCAGAGTGTGGAATTGGAGTAGGTGACAGGGAAGCAGACACCTCAGCACGTGGCTTCTCTTTGCCTCAGTTCCAGCAAATGAAAGATAGGGACAGTAGTCAGTAACTGCCTCAGGTTACTGTCAGGGTTAGTCTCTGAATGCAACACAAGCACTTGCTCTTATTGTTGTTATGATGATGATGAATAGTCTTATTATTATTCAGCTGCACACAGGGAAACAATGTGGGCTGTTTACATACAGAAGGCACTAGCGAGACACTGGAAGCTCCCAAGCACAGGCAATAGGCCTCTATGACACTGAGGAGGGGCCTGGGCTGACTGTGGCCCTTCAGGGGCACCTTCGACATCTAAGCACATCCTATTCTACTGGCATCAACTCATCCACATTTGCTAGACCAGAGGTGAAGGGGGGAATGAAAATCTAAAGTCGTGGATTATCCAAGACGTTGCATGACTAGAGCACAGCTGTGGATGCTGGGAGATGCCCATTAGCAACCCAACATCCAGCACTCTTATTCTTAACTCTGACCCACCCCCTTTGCTCCCAACCCTGGTTCTGTCCTCCTGATTTGGAAGAAAAGAGATCAGAGGAAATAAATAAACCATCCCCAGATCTATTAGAACTTGCTGAATAGGCCTTGGATCTGGCCCTCGCTTTGCCTAGCTTGGGAAGGATTTAGCAGTCTGGAGCCTCAATCACTGTGACCAGTCTTTCTGGGTACCCCTATTCAGCCATCCTCTCCCCTGTAAGCCTCCTTGGGCATCCCAGACAATGTTTTTTTTTTTCTTCCTCCTCTGGGGCCTCGATGCTGTGTATCTCCTGCCACCCTGTGTCAGAGGTTTAACATTCTCAAGGGATAAAGCCATGTTATCTTCTCTGAACCCCCTCCACCTGCCTTCTTCACCTGATTAAGGATCCCCTACTGTCAGTGTAATGCAAACCAATGTTAGACCTTGGCTTCAGGCAAAGTACCACCAGGTCAAGGTATTAGAGAGAGAGAGACCTTATACCATCTCATGGTTTTGTAATCTTTGATCTCTCAGGGAAACCATTTTATTACAGCTGCCTAAGTTTTCTTTTCAGAAAAGACATAAGCCCAGCACTCCCTGGCTGACTCTAAAAGTGGGCATGGAGCTGTTCTGACCTATCTGCTCATCAGTGTTTACACCCTTAGCCAGAGTATGGCATATGGTTGTGACTCTATGTCTGTTGATTTGAATTGTTGACTTGAAGTGAGTTGAGAGAATCGAACAGTAGAAGGAGGTCATGGCTCAGGACAGTTGAGAAGTAAAGAGAAAAGGTACAAGAGATGGTGACAACAGAAGTTTATAATCTGGGATAGAGTTGTGCTAGAAATGTTTGAGGTGAATGAAAAAATGGCTCTGGTCAGCAGTCTGAGAAGCCAAATAATTGCCTTCCAGCCTTTGTCCTACCTTAACATGATGAAGGAAGCTCACGTGGGTAGCACGTGCCCATGGGGTATCAGGCTCTGAGTGATTCTCAATGTTGGTTTCAACACTATCCTTTCCTTGTTCATTCAAGAGGCACATGGAATGTGGGTGTGTGAGAGAGATAATTACAGGAATAGTCTAAAAACTGCTCTAATTCATTATTATTTTTTGAAGTAAGTAATTTACAAACTTTAGTCATTTGGTAAGAAATTATTTGCACTCTCATTATAGATTAAAACCTCTGCCCTGAGAACACTGTTGAATTAAGTTCTGCACCACAGCAGCTGTTGGCTTTCCTATCTCATTATCTCTTCATAAGGTCAATGCTTCACTGTTTACATTCAGCAAATGGATACAGAGAACTCACTTCACTTACTCAGATCACATAACTTCAGTGGGATGGTATGAGCTCTTTACTCGGCTTCCTCTTATACAACCTCACATTGCCTCTGACAAGATCTTTAATCTCAGCTCTATACTGGCCCACGGACTGCCAGAAGAATGAAAAAAATCTGTCCTGGAAGTGCAGCTGCAATACTTCTTGGAGGTGAGAATGGCCAGACTCCATTCCCTGGAGAAGGATATCATGCTTGGTAAAGTGGAGGGAGCTCTGGTAGCATAGTGCCTAAGGCACTTGACTGCTAACCAGAAGCTGGCAGTTCAAACCCACCAGCCACTCCTCGGAAGGAAGGTTGGGCAATCTAGTTCCATAGTGATATGCCTTGGCAACCCAAGGAGGGGTCGCTATGAGTCAGATATGACTTGATGGCACATAACAACGACAACAACAACAACAAAGTAGAGGATCAGTGAAAAGGGGGAAGGCCCTCAATGAGATGGATTGACACAGTGGTTGCAGCAATGGGCTCAGGTATAGCAAGGATTGTGAGGCTGGCACAGGACCAGGCAGTTTCATTCTGTTGTTCACAGGGTTGCTGTGAGTCAGACCTTACTGGACAGCACCTAACAACAAAAACACACTTGCCCAAAGAAAGATGAAAATGCCAGTCCCATGAGGGGCCTTGAGTAAGACTTAGGTAGACATAGGTTCTCTCTGCTCTCTCCTCTGATCAGTCTCTCATCTATCCAATGACCATAATAAACTTGCTGTCCCAGAGATAGATAATAACAGTTCCATGAGATTACATATGCGGTAGAACAGCAGAGTGATTTACAAATATCAGTTATTAATAGTTCAACAGATAATCTAACATTACCTCTTCTTGGAACTTAATGAACAGTTCAGGAATGCATTAATATCAAATCCAATGGTGAGCACTTGGTCTTTATTTATGGCTGGAAGAGAGGAAGTTTAAGTTTACCTGAAGTCCAACAGAGATCCCACATGCCTGCAGTCAGAAGTTTTTGTCACTTACATAGCACTCAAACTCAATGCTTCCAAGCCCCTTTGGAAGAAATAGTTTCCTTCATGGGCTAAAGATTCAAAGAAGGCAGAAGTGATTTTTACCTAAGGAAGGTTGGGCAATCTACTTTCGTAGTAATACTGCCTCGGAAACCCAAGGAGGGGTCACTATAAGTCGGGTCCGACTCCACAGCACATAACAACAACAACAACATGGCTTAGAGCAGTGGTCTCAAACTAGAATGTGCTTCAGCATCACTTGGAGGGCTTGTTCAAACACAGATGGCTGGGCCCCACCCCCAGAGTCCCAGATTCAGTAGGGTTGGGATGGGGCATTTGTATTTCTAACAAGTTCCCAAGTGGTGGTGATGGTGCTCGTCAGAACAACTGATTTAGAATTCAAACATCAGAAAGTTTGAGTCAGAACTAAGATTAGTAAGTGGTATCTACGAATGGGCTTCATGACATCTGTGAAGCCAGCCCAGAAGGTGGGAGGGGTTACGGTGGTAGAAAGGACACAACAGACTTCTGCTCTGCTCTCTGACCTTCCCAGATGACCAGACGGAACATCAGGGAACTCAAGAATGTCTTAAGGAGTCTTTCTCCATCCCATTCCTTCAGATTCTCTAGTATCTTGGTCCCTAGCCCCAATACTTTGACAGACTCCACCCCCTCCTCTGACCTGATTGGGCCAGGAGAATCCTCCTGATTCGCAGCCAATCAATCACATTCACTCTCAAGAATCTGAACTAAGAGGCACGGAGAAAGTGGTTTGTGATTTGAAGGTTCTTAGTACCGTGGTCAAAATGCCAGGGCCACATGCAAGCTGAGATAATGGGGAAGTAGAATTTGGGTGAGCAGAGGAAGCTGGTAAGGGAGAGAGACACTAGGCAGACCTCCTAAGGGGGGCAAAGATGAGAGATGTGGGGGAAGGAAGCACTGAAGGGGGACACACAGTAGAAGAGCAGTTTGCATCATGTACAACTGGCAGCAGAGGCCTGTCTTTATTTTCATAAATTCTAGGCATCCATATGCAGACCTCCTTCTCTTTCTTGGAACAATGGGAGTTGTTGCAAGGGACCATCAATGGAAAGACAGGGGACATTGAATCTCATGTGTGATCGGCTCTCAGACCAACCCTTCTTCTTGCCTTTCCCCATTCCCACACTCCACAGGAATCCCAGAATTTCAAGACTGCTACTCAGCAAAGCCAGTACACTACATGTCATTCAAAACCTCTCCCAGATCGTCCACTTACCTTCGATCAGGCTGAAGAGCAGATTGGAGGGGTTCTTCCTTGAGGAAGGGCAGTCCTGGAGTTTTAGGTTGAAGATGAAAACTTTCGCTTTGGGCTCAATGGTCTAAAATAGATAAAGGCAAGCAAATAAGCCAGAGCTTTCTGGGACCTGTCTTTTGAAAACAGGGACAGATATCAAGACGCGAAGCTACAAATTGGCTTTGGAAATGACCTCCAAGCATCTCAAGTTCATAAAGGGAATTGATGGTAGACTTTGAAGAAGAGGGAACTCCACTTTTCAATAACAAAAGTGACCTTTGTCACCTACTCTCATAAGGGGGCATATTTACTTATTCTTTCACCATAGGTTTTTCTTTAGTTAGTTAGTTTTATTGTGATTTGAGTGAAAGTTTACATATAGCAGTTCATACATACATACATTATTGTTGTTGTTGTTATGTGCTGTCGAGTTGGACCCGACTCATAGCAACCCCTCCTTGGGCTTCTGAGGCAGTATCACTACGGAAGTAGATTGCCCAACCGTCCTTCCGAGGAGTGGCTGGTGGGTTTGAACCACCAGCCCTTCTGGTTAGCAGTCAAGTTCCTTAGGAACTACGCTACCAGAGCTCCTACATACATACATATATGTATATATAAATAAATATATATATATTTTAAACAATGTCAAAGACGTTATTTGACTCATTAATTAACGAGGAAACCAGCAAGTTGTTTGTTTTTTATTTTTATTGGGATTTGGGTGAAAGTTTACAGAGCACAAAAATTTTCCATACAGCAGTTCATACATATTTTGTTTATGAAATGGAGTTCAGCTCCACACAATGTAGTTACCTCTTTCCTGTGTCCTTCTTTCCTATGCATTCCTGCCCCCTGAGCTGTCTCCCTGTGCAAATATTGCCCTTCTATTCTCCCATGATTGATTGTTCTAAGGAGTGTATCTACCTTATGTAAATATTCACCCTTAATGCTTGTCTAGGAGTGAGTTCAATTCCAGACCTTAAGGGGTACTAGGGGCCATAGTCTCGGGGGTCTCACCAGACTATATCAGACCAGTAAACCTGGTCTTTTTTTTTTTTTTTATCAACATAGGTTTTTAAATTACCTCTTAGCATCAAGTATATGTTAAGATCATGAACAAGACAGTTCACTCATATAAGGAGACCATATTATTAAAAAAAGCTTGATCAAAGCACCATCATCACAATATTATAATTCCGTTTTGGTGCAGGCGGACAGGAGTACAGATGAAACAAAATGAGCCATAAATTGATAGCTTTTGAAGCTGGGGATCATTTCATAGGGGCTCATTATACTTTTCTCTCTGCTTGTGGGTATGTTTGAACTTTTCCATAATAAAAAGTTGAAAAGGAAAGCAGCTGTTATTATTAAAACTGGAGTAGATGCAATTCCTCTGCCATCCAGTCCCCTATTTCTAGCCAATGCACTATGAAGGGAAACATGGCTGACATGGTGTTTGACTTCATTTTTTTCATTTGTTCTTTTGGCTTTATTTTAACTTACCTTTTTCTGGGGGGCGGCGGGGGGCAGGGGGAGAGTTCGGCTATTTTTTCCCATGCTAATGTTTTCCTACTTTAGGTACAGTTAAACACACAAAACTAAAGTGAAATTTTTCTTTTCTTTTTTTTTTTGTAGTGTTCCTTTCCCTCTACTCCCACTCCTGGCAACCAACAAGAAAATTTCTTTCCATATATAAACCTTCCCTTGACCTTCTACAACAATGAACTAATACTATATTTGTCCATCTGTGGTTGACTTATTTCACTCAGTATAATGTCCTCCAAGTTCATCCGTGTTATGTGATGTTTTGCAGATTCCACATTATTTTTTAGTGTTGCATAGTATTCCATTGTGTGTATGTACCATAGTTTGCTTACCCATTAGTCTGTTGATGAGCACACAGGTTGTACCCATCTTTTTGCTATTGTAAATAGTGCTGCGATGAACATGGATATGCATATATTGGTTCCTGTTATGGCTTTCACTTCTCTAGGATATATACCTCGTAATGGGATTGCTGAGTCAAATGGTATCTCCAATTCCAGCTTTCTAAGAAATCGCCATACTGCTTTCCACAGTGGTTGTATCACTTCACAGTCCCAGCAGCAATGTATGAGAGTCCCAGTCTCTCCACATCCCCACCAGCATTTGTTATTTTCTCTCTCATTGAACCTTGCCATCAGTGCTGGGGTGAGATGGTATCTCATTGTTGTTTTGATTTGCATCTCTCTGTTGGCCAATGATAGTGAGCATCTCTACATGTATTTGCTGGCAGCCTGAATATCCTCCTTGATGAAGTGTCTATTCATGTCTTCTGCCCATTTTTCAATTGGATTGTCAAT